ACAAATGCACCATTTTAGGCTCCCCTTTTAGTTCTCCACATACTTTTCCACATCTGTAAAACCTTGTCAAATTCACATGGACTAAAGTTCAGGATCTGAACTTTAGTCCTCAAAATAAGCCAAGATACATGCAAAAGTACAGGTTAGAGTTAGGAATTGAATGAATACTGACTATTCAATGTGAGGCATATCTTCCGATGCTTGGAACAGCATTACAAAACTAAATAAATTAAAAGAAAGAAAGAAGAATCTTACTTCTGAACAGCCTACTGGATATTATTTTCAGTGCAAAAGGCTTTGCTTGTAGGGCAGTGCATTGGTAGGTGTAAAAAAGGCAGGGTGTGCATCCTCTTTCTCTCTCCAGCAAAGAGCAAATGAGTTCAAAACCAGCTACAACAAAACTTTTGAAGCTATGTGACTGTATGGGAACTGCTGAAACTGCCCGAACCTCTGATTGACCACCTGAGGCAAGCACTGAGTCAGCCACAGGAGCACAGGCGAAGGTAATTCAGCTGTGCTGCACCCCTCCTAGACCCATTTAAGAGCTGACTGCCGCTGACAAAGGATCTCTTCCTGGAGATCAGTTCTCATGGAGAGCATTGTGAGCCTACAACATTGGTAAATGTTTTCCAGTTATTACCTTCCTGTTGCAATAATCTTACTTAGCCTAACTTTCCTGGATATTTCTTAATTATTACACCTGTATATTCACTGATTACACAGCGACTAAATATTAAGTCCATCAGACTGCACTGCAGAATGGACCCATCCAAAAGCCAAGCGCAGCTTTGTTACAGCTAGATCCCCAAGTATACGGGAAACAACATTGTGATCAGCAAGTCAGAAGGTATTTATGACAATGATGAACCCAGCCACCCAGATGCCTCTCTGAGTGGCCAACAGTGGGGTAACCCAGCTGTGCCTGTCTTAAACAAGCAGAGCATGCAATGGAAATACTAGCCAACACTTGTGCGTATTTCAAGCTAAGGCAGTTCCCCAACTGTTTTCCCCTGACAGATGGAAGAAACACCATGCAATTCTGACTGCAGGAGTCAGCAGATTATCAGGACAATAATTAAGAAAACAATGCTTAAAGAATAATCTTTGTCTTGGAAATACCACCTTATCTGAGACATCAAAATGTTTGAAATAAATCAGTCAGCAATTGAGTTTGCCTTGTAGCAGTGTACCTCTTTTTTTCCTTTCTCTGCATTACTATACCTGGACTTGAGCAAGGCCTTTGACATGGTCCCCCACCACATCCTTATCTCCAAATTGGAGGGATGTGGATTTGATGGTTAGGCCACTTGATGGATAAGGAATTGGTTAAAAGGCCGCAGACAGAGGGTGGTCATTGATGGCTCTGTGTCCAGGTGGAGGCTGGTAACAAGCGGCGTCCCCCAGGGCTCTGTCTTGGGACCGGTGCTCTGTAACATCTTCATCAACGGCAGCGATGACGGAATCGAGTGCAGCCTCAGCAATTTGCTGACGACACCAAGCTGAGTGGTGCGGTCGACACAGTGGAAGGAAGGGATGCCATTCAGAGGAACCTCGAGAGGCTGGAAAGGCGGGCCTGGGTGAATCTAATGAGGTTCAGCACAGCAAAGTGCAGAGTTTGGCACTTGGGCTGCAGGAATCCTGGGCATCCATACAGACTGGAAGGAGCGGTGCTTGAGAGCAGCCCTGCAGAGAAGGACCTGAGAGTCTTGATGGATAAAAATCTTAACATGAGCCAACAGTGTGCTCTTGCAGCTCAGAAGGCAAATGGTATCCTGGGCTGCATCAGGAGAGGGGAGGCCAGCAGGGACAGGGAGGTGATTGTCCCCCTCTGCTCTGCTCTTGTGAGGCCCCATCTGCAGCACTGCGTCCAGGTCTGGAGTCTCAAGAACAAGACAGAGAGCTGTTGGAGAGGGTCCAGAGAACGGCCACAGAGATGGTCAAGGGCCGGAGCACCTCCCCTATGAAAACATGCTGAGGGAGCTGGGCTTGTTCAGCCTGGAGAAAAGAAGGCTGTAGGGTGACCTCATTGCAGCCTGCAGTACCTAAAGGGAGCCTGCAAACAGGAGGGGAATCAAGTCTTGGAAAGGGTTGATAACTGCAGGACAAGGGGAAATGGTTTGAAGTTGAGGGAGGGGAGATTGAGGTTGAATGTCAGGGGGAAGTTCTTCAGAGAGAGAGTGGTGAGGTGCTGGAACAGCTGCCCAGAGAGGCTGTGATGCCCCGTCCATCCCTGGAGGTGTTCAAGGCCAGGTTGGATGGGGCCCTGGGCAGCCTGGTCTAGCATTAAATGTGCAGGTTGGTGGCCCTGCATGTGGCAGGGGGTTGGAGATTCATGATCCTTGAGGTCCCTTCCCACCCTGGCCATTCTGTGATTCTGTAATATGCACATGCTGCCTTTTTTTTAAAGTGACACATAAGTAAATCTCAAAGTAAGCAATCATAATTAGGAATATCCTATAACATCGTTACTCAACTAATGAGTCAGATCAGTATTAGTGAACCAGTACTAACAAATCCTCATTCTACCTTCTTAGTCATACATGAAATACCTGAACAGTCATTTTTCATTCATGTATTGAGAACACAGAAAAATCTCTTCAGGAGAGTTTTTTGTAAGAGAGGCAAAAGATTTCAACAATTCCGGAAGGACCCAAGCTAAATAAGATACTTTTTTCCAGAGTCTAATTCTATTTTGATTGTTAAGTAAAATACGTACGTCTTCAACATCAGTTACTTTTTTCAGAACTATTACATTCTGCCACCAGAGTTGACTCCTTTCAGAATAACTCATCAGAATATCAAATTTCGTAATTATTTCAGAAACCTTTGTAATATTTTTTGCTCGCATATCTGATCCAAATGCCTCTTCATAAAGCAGATCAGTGTTCAGACTTTCTTTAATCATGAAAATGCAGTAGAAACAGAACGACATTTGAGTGGTTTACTCCACGGGAACAGAAAGTCTATAAGCAGCTCATTACAACATTAAACATCCATGTGCAGAAAAAAAGAAACCAGCTGCCAGAATTCTCCAGGTTGTTTTTAATAGCCTGAGCAATCAGAAAATTGGCACTTAATGGATATCCTTGCTGAGGATTCATCACTTTAAGAGTCTAGAACTGAAACTGTGGAAAGACTGTTTTCATACAGTGCACAATAGAAAGAATAGTTCCGTTCAAAATGTGTGTTAGTTCCTAGTAAGCATTAGCTTTACATATAGCAGGTGAATGATTTTCTGTGCAAGACAGAAAAATGAACTCTGTACTACGATCTAGTTCAGTGTTGGCTGTGCAACACATTTTTTTTCACCTTGTGACTGACTATAGTTACTTTAAGTTACGGTATGCTTATTTATAAGTTATATAAGTTACATACTTATAAGTATATAAGTTATGCACTTCTTGACTAAGATCAGATCTCATGAAGTGCAATTCTAACAATCAAAAAAACTACAAGTTCCAAGCTGTGAGGAGGCTGGGTAGCCATTTTGGTGGTGGCAGCCATCTTGGGGCAGAAGAGATTTAAATAGCTGAATTTCAAGAAATGACTGATATTTTGCAAAGTTGGCAGTTTAACGTAATCTTGGAAAAAGTCATCTACTCTAGTAGAATCAGAGTATGACAGTATGTCATTCTGTGACATGTAAACATAAGACAAAATCATTTCTGTTCCACATTAAAAGAACTCTGAGCCTCATTTGGCCTACAAGGCAGCTGAAATTTTTGGGCATGAAGCTATGTTAGCGATCTTTCATAGGATTTTTATCATTCATAACCTCATTGTGCTGAACAGTGCTCATTTTTGGGCTTCACGCAAAGATGGGACAGGGCAACTGAAGGTGTCACAAGTGACTCGAAAGGAAGGTGATGCTCATTAATGAGAAACATTGGGAGCAGACAGCGATGGGACAAGGCTCACAATCTGTTCTACTTCAGAAGCGGCGCTGAACACAGGAGGCACAAGAAGGGGAGATGGTTACAAGTGCAGATGAAAGATCACGGTGGGAAACTTATCTTGGCAATTTTATTTTTCATCAACAAAGAAGCAGCCGAACAGCGAGACAGCAGAAGGCTAAAGGGGAATGAATCCTCGAGGTTTAAAGTGTATCTCTGTCAGCGTGACTGAGCACGGGCCGCAGAATAGAAGCGAGGGGAAATGGTAGCACCCTCAAGCTGGAGGCAGCATCAGCATCCCGGCCTCACGCAGAACGGACACCTTGCTGCTGCTGTGATTTACCACAGCGCTGTGTCCGAGATGGGACACAACGGGATTCTGACAGTGAAGAATCCACGCCGGGCGCAGAGCAGCAGAGCACCAACGCTCGCGAGGAACAGCAGGAGACAAGGCAGACGGGCGCCAGGTTCGGGCGCACAGAGGTCAGCCGGCACGGCAGGGCGGTGCAGCACCAACTGCGCTCAGCGACTCGGCAAGGAGAAAAGCCTGCCGCGGAAACGACCGGTAGGGAGGGAGCGGGCCCGGCTGAGGGAAGCGGCTCCTGCCAGAGCTGCCCCCGACCCCGCCTGGCTCTTCCCGCCCGCCTGGCCGCCGCCGCGCCGCTCCCACGCTCGCCCGCCCCGTCCCGTCCCGTCCCGCCCCTCTCCTCTCTGCCGCGCGCGGAAGCAGCAGCGCGACTGTTAAAACCGTTACAGCTCCCACTTTCGAACTGATTCAAACTCGGCAGCGCTGAGACGCGACGCCCCTCCCCGCTCCCGTCGGGCCCCTCGCCTCCTTCCTCTCCCCGATCCCCGCGAGGCGGCGGTCGGAGCACCTCGGGCTCTGGCCCCGCTGCGCGCTCAGCCAGACGGACGGGCGAACAGAGCGCAAAACCGCCGCCCGTACGAGCGGCGCGAGAACAAAGAGCTCCCCCACCCCTCCTTCCCGCCAGCACGTGGGGCGCGGGCCCCGCCCCTCGCCCCGCCCACCGCCGTCCGCGATTGGCGCGGGGCGCTCCGTCCGCGTCCGTCCAATCGGGGCGGCGCTCGGCCCTCGCCAATGAACGCGATAGCGATTGGGCCGCTGTATTTGGCGCTCGGTCCGGGAGGGTGAATCCGGCAGCCGGAGGCAACAGGGGAGGAAGAGCCGGGAGGAGAAGCGGCGCCGAGCGGCGGCGGCACGAGATCGGAGCGAGGGGACGGGTGAGCGGACTGCGGCACCGTGGCCGTCAGGCGCAACCACCGTGCGGGCTGCGGGCCGGGAGTGGTGATTTATAACCGCCTTCCTTTGTCATGGGCGGGCGGGCGGGCGGGGGGGCAGGCAGGCAGGGCGCGACCGCCTCGGTCCCGAGCGGGAGCGCCGATGGGGCGGCGGGGAGCTTCGTGCCCACTCTGCGGCCGCTGACGGCCGAGGGAGCGGCGCGGGGCCGGCGGTGCCTTTTGTCTGAGTTGGCTCTGTCCCTCCCGGCCGCGCCGCGCTCGACGGTGTGGAGCCTCGGGTGGGGGGGGGGGACGATTAGCGCCGTACGGGGGAAAGAGCCGGCCGGTTCCTCTCCTCCTCGCTGCTCCTCCCCGACGGCAGGGGGATCTGCGCCTTTAAAGTACGGTCGGTGAGGTCCGAAACGCGAGCGCGAGTGCGTCTCGTCCGCCTCGGCCCCCGAAAGAGGAGCGGCGTGCAGAAGTTCTCCTTGCGCGGCGGCAGCCCCCGCCCAGCGCCGCGAGCGGCTCGGCGGCAGCCCCGTGTGCCCGCCGTGTCCCGGAAGCGCGGCGTTCCCACTCGCACGTTGCCGTCCCGCCGGCCAGCCTGCGACCGAGCGCTCCTGTCCCGGGCTGCTTTCGCGGGCAGCGAGAGCGGGAGAGCGAGCGGGGAGAGGGGGTCGACCTGTCCGACCGGCTCCTCGTCGGCACCGGCGCTCCTGAGTTCGGGGAGAGCTGGGACTGCTGAATTGGAGACCTCGTGTCGCCGAGCGCGGGTGTGTAGGGCGATGTCTGAGACGGGAAAGGGATGGAGCTGTGCTGAAGCAACAGGCGTGTGTGCGGTGGGACAGAGGTGATGAAATCCATGTGCTGTAGCACAGCGCGTGTGTATCTGGTGTTAACAAGTGCGATCGTTTGTTATCGTTGTGATCAGTTCAGTTGTTAGGAATGGGCAAAAGGAAAAGCGGTCTCAGCATAACGCAGTGAGAACGGTATAACCAACCTGCTCCTGGCTCAAGATACGTCTTCGAAATTGTGAAACGCAGTATTTCACTGGTACTACTCGGGACGTGTTTGTTTTTTAACTATCGAGCTGGAAGTTCGGATTCTTTGTCTCTAAGTAAAAGCATGTAACAAAGTCAGTCTGTTTGTTGCAGGATAGGTTTGTCTTTGTGCAAGTCTAGCAATTGCAGATCCAACTGTTCTGTATTTCAACGAAAGACTTCACTGGTATTTTTAGTACAAGATTAACTTCTAAATTGAGATTTTCTCCTATATAAGCCCTTCCTCTCTTCTCTTTCCCCCCTTCCCCCCTTTTTTTTTTTTTTTTTTTTTTTTTTTTTTTTTTTTTTTTAGGGGTTGGCACATTCAGGTTCTTTGTGATTTGTAAAAATTAAAAGGTCATTCTTTGTTTGTCCCCAGTGTCTGTATCAAATTGAGAGTCCTGGGAATGTTTATTTGTGATAACAATAATGCATCTTCAGAGGGGTGAGTATTAGTTGTCCACAGTGTATGATAGCTACTCTTGCTTTAGACTAGATCATTATAATATAAATAAGATTTATAGTGTCTTTCAGAAAACATGCTTCCAGTACTTTAGGAGATATCATTCAAAAGTTTTATGCAATGCGTCGAATGTTTTTTTAACTTTGAGAGCTGGTGCTTTATCACTTGTGTACTGTATGTTTATTACTTCAAAATGTAGTTTCTTGTTACAGAGTATTCATTAAAAAAAATTGAGGGAAAGTACCTTTTTTTATTCTTTCCTCTTTTGAGAGAACTCTGTCAGTAAAATGTTTATGAGATGTCAACAGCCACTATCTTGTGGAACTTCGTAAGAATTCAAGTTTGTAATTCAGGAGAAAAAAAGGAAAAATATTTTTTTAGACATTTTTAAATATATAATGTTGCTCTGAAAGTGACAGACACTGAAAATCCCCATTGTCAAAAAAACATTAAACATCTTTGCTCAGTTTAAAATCAGATGAAGCAGTAGTCTATAAGCTTAGGCTGGAGACCTGAAATTCAAACTTTTTTTTCTTTCCATGTGGTATTTTTTTCCTTTCTACCTGGAATTTCCAACCAGTTGGAGTATGGTGGGTGGCTTGGTTGAAAATATGCCTTCTAATGGATTTATGTTTGTTCTGTGATATTATGACATTCATAGGTGAAATGTAAATGTACTTCAGCTTATCTGCAAAGAAACTTAGCTTAGCAAGCAGGGAGTTCTTGTAGTGTGTTAGTGAGTGTATAATTGTATACATGGAGAGTGAAAACTAACTGCTGCTTTCTGCAAAGTAACATATGTCAGAATAAGTACGTGTAGCATCTCATGCACTCCAACAGTGCTCACAGAAAAGCTGGTGCGTTTCAAACATCCTCTGGAAATTAGTTTAAAAAACAAAAACCTCTTCTTTTCAACATTCATTCACAAGAACGTTCTGCTTCTTTAGCTGTATGCATCATATAGACATTTTGTTGATTTCACATCTATATTGTTGAAGTTGAAGAACAATTTTAAAAGATGGCGTTAGCTTCATGTGATGAAACAGGGAAGGTTGCTTTTCAAATAGCTGCAATACTGACAGAAGGCAAATTTAACAAATGCTTGCTCTGTGTTGTGCTTGAGCAGAAGTATTGTAGAACACTCTAGTGATGGCTATAATCTGCATCTTCTGTTCTCCAGTTAGCTATGATTCACTCTAGCTGACTTGCAGCATCTGAAATTTTAGGGGAGAATCTCAGGATCAAGACCTGTCAGTTTTTGCTGAACAAGAAAAATTCAAAAGTTTACTGAAACAAGTGGATCTTTTCAGAATTATGTGTCCAAGGAAAATTCAGCTGACCAGAGTTTATACAAAAAAAAAAAAAAAAAAAAAGTTGAGAAAGTGGAACATGTACTATGAATATAATTCTTAAGAATTTTGTGTGATGTTTGCTTACTTGAAAAAAACTAAGACTGCCCTTAAGAAAAGCTGTCAGATAGTAATGAGAGGATTATTTTTAATTCTTAACAATACTATTGCAACCACCCTTGGAGTTGGATCATAGAAGGAAGGTGGAGAGTGCTGCCAAACTCGCTGAAATGGCATCTGAAGACAGCAGCTATGTTGTCTTGTCTCCAAATGTATTTATGTATGTATCTGTACGTTTAGCATCTATGTATATGACTTGAGCAAGCATGCTGCTATGGCTAAATTCGGTCTTTAAGAGGATGAACTCGGTGGAGTCGTAGTTCAGGTGGTAACTTCAGTTAAGCCTGCATGTCTGGGGAAAGGATGACGAGACAGAAAAGCGTTGTACAAAATCAATGCAAAAAAGGGAGAGGCCTTCTTGGGGTACAATGAAGATGTTCATTCAACTTAGCCGGTTACTTTGATTTGTTCTGAAGTATATGCCATATCTTTTTGTTGAGTTAAAGATGTAAAGGAAAACAAAAAAGAATTGGGTATTTGACATGTTCTAACAGATATCAGCTAAGGGCTTTGAGATTTATTACAAGTGTGAGGCAGAACTGAAGAGTGAGCTTTGTTGGAGGAGCAAGTAGATTCTGCTGAGGCCCAAACAAAAAGCAGTGACATTTTCTAGAGACATGAATGCAATTTTCTGTAACTGATAATAGCAGACAATTTGGTTGATACAGGCTTGTTTTATCTGTACATCTAGATTTCCGTTAACTGTGGACGTGTTCTGGGTCTTCAATGAAAGTGAAAAAGCTACTTCCAAATCTGGAGTAGATAGCTTGAATAATTAAGTAAACTTAGGTAGAGGCAACTCTAAAGAATAGGAGTGAAAATTCAGTCCTAATGCAAATGATAATCTTACATTTTTCACTTTTGAAAAAACTAAGTTTAAAACAAAGGAATGTTTAAATATATAGCTTATTATGTAACTACAGGCTTTTAAGTTTATTAGCACTTAAAAAAAACCCAAACAATGGGAGATGTCTAAAACACATCTTTATGCTCTTTCTGTGTAAAATAAAAATATGAAAAGAAACCAACCCAAACAATTAGATTGTTGTGTGTTAAGCCCTTACTTAGGCTCTCAGCTCAATAGGTGAAAAACACTTTCTTCTTGGAAAGATTTACAATGCTTACTCTGCTCCATTTAATGGTAAAATCAATAGTACTTAAAAGGTGAGATGACCATCTGGAAATCTAGTTATAAACTATGTGTGTCCTAAATGTGGATAAAGGTAACAGTGTAATGATATGAGTGGATCAGTGCAATACTGGCAATTGCTTGGAAATGTGGCATAGTATTTCTAAAACTTCTGATTTTGATATATAAATTTATATTGTATAATTTATATTATATTATATAATGAGGTAAAGCCAACAGAATATACTGTCATAATTCTGTGTGCAAGTAAAACTTCTTTAGTATGCTACTGTAAGGAACATTTCAGAATTGTTTTGTTTTTATGTATATGGTACCTGCTTAAATGATCTTGTGTGCAAACATAGCAGTCCATGTCATGGGCTTTCTAGGATGTGTTGTAAATTAATAGGGAAAAAAAAATCTTCACTGGAGGGCCTGATAGATTTATACTTTGTTAATCTAGAGCCAGCTCTGTTGCCTTTGTCATTTTATGTTGCATCCAGTTTTTTCTCTCATTCAGCCTTTTGTACGGTTGGTTTCTTTACCTTGCATTCAGCTTTTCACAGCCTATGTGATCAGTTTAGATCTCAAAGCCATCAAACGTGATTTAAAGAGAGAAAGTAGTTGAAAGGAAGGAAACTCAGGTCTTAATAGTAAAAAAAAAATAAATGTAATTATATATAAATGTATACATGCGCAGGTATTTATACATATACATATATGTATATGTATATACATACATATACATATATGTATATATACAAGGGAAGCTCTGACAGTAATACCTCCTATTTCACTGTGCCGGCTCACAGTGTCCAAGGCAGATGTTGGTGGTAGTACAAGTATGGCAGTAGAAGCTGAACCTTCCTGCCAGTATTCCATTACATTTTGTTGCTGTGACA